CAAACCCAGGGCCTTATGCATGCAAGGCAAGCACTCTACAATTGAACCACCTTCCCAGCCTCCACTTCCAGCTTTTTTTGCTGGTAATTTGGAGATAGAGTTTCCTGGACTTTTCTGCCCAGTCTGGCTTTGTACCTCAGCTTTCGGCCCTAGGAGTATTTAAGATTATAGACATGAGCCACTGGGTAAAAATGGGGTAAAAGCCCCATTTGACAGCAAAAATTATAAATTACTTAAATAAGTCTACATTGTACCAGTAACCCAGTAGAGTGTAAAGCTCCCAAATAAAATGCTGATTTAAAGCGTGTGAAGAACAAGCAGACCCGTTGTAGCTGGTGTGAGCACCCATATTCAGCAGGGGGCTTAGAGGGAGCAGTAAGAACTATACTACAATTACCTCTGTGTTCCTAGAGTCACAAAGCCCATTCATTTATTGTTCATTCACACAAAATATATTTATCAAGCTAGCTAGGAGCTATGCTCAGGGTTGATATTAGAGCAATGAAGAAGAATAAGGAGGACTTGCCCTCACAGTGAATGGGAGCTAATCAAAGTAATTAAGTTTATTTTCAAAAATAATTTATTTTCATAGAAAATATATATTTTTAAAAGTTATATTAACATATATAACTTGAACAATGGAGGGATTAGAAAATATGTTCTTAAAAAAGAAAAAGAATACCTGACTTATGTAACTATAATCCCTCTGTATATCTCCTTCCTTCCTTCTCCTTCTTTCTTTCTTTCTTTTTTCTTTCTTCTTTCTTTCTTTCTTTCTTTTTTTGTGGGTCATGGGGCTTGAAATCAGCGCCTGGTGCTATCCCTGAGCTTTTTTTTTTTTTTTTGTCGGTCATGGGTCTTGAACTCTGGGCCTGGGCGCTGTCCCTCAGCTCTTCAGCTCAAGGCGAGCGCTCTACCACTTGAGCTACAGCGCCACTTCTGGTTTTCTGGTGGTTTATTGGAGATAGGAGTCTCACGGTCTTTCTTGCCCAGGCTGGCTTTGAACCGCGATCCTCAGATCTCAGCCTCCTGAGTAGCTAGGATTACAGGTGTGAGCCACCAGCGCCCTTCTTCCCTGAGCTTTTTTGCTGAAGGCCAGTGCTCTATCACTTTGAGCTGTAGCACCACTTCCTGCACATCACCTTTATTATAACAATAAAGTAATTTTTTTAAAAAAAGGAGGTTTGGATCAATAAAACTTTGACCTAAAAAAAAAAAAAAAAGAAACAAGGGGCTGGGAAGGTGGCTCAGTGGTAGAGTGCTTACCTTATATACATGAGGCCCTGGGTTCAATTCCTCAGCATTACATAAGCAGAAAAAGCTGGAAGTGGTGCTGTGGCTCTAGTGGTAGGGTGCTAGCCTTGAGCTGAAGAGCTGAGGGACAGCTCCCAGGCCCAGAGTTCAGGCACCACAACTGACAAAAAAGAAAGAAAGAAAGAAAGAAAAGAATAAAAGAAACAAGGAACAAGAAAAAGAAAAAAAGCCAGGTGCTGGTGGCTCACACCTATAATCCTAGCTACTTAGAAGGATGAAATCTGAGGATTTTGGTTCAAAGACAACTTGAGCACAAAAGTCCATGAGACTATTATCTCCAATTAACCACCAAAAAGCCAAAAGGGAAGCTGTATGTGGCTCAAGTGGTAAAGGAAAAAGCCAAATGAGAGTGAGAGACCCACAGGGTTCAAGTCCCAGTACTGGCACATACACAAAAAGAAATATGTTCTTGAGGTACAACGAGAGTACAGAAAAATATACTGTAAATTTTTTGTCCTGTACTTGAGTTCTAAGTGCTTTATTAGCCCCTCTTTGGAGTGTAATATATCTCATTCCTAAAGAAATTTCTACAGTATGATCAGTGTAGGAACTGGAGAAGTATAATCATGTTATGAAACTACCTAAGGACCATACTTAGCCCAGAGTTGGGGAGTGAATAGCCCAGGAATTAGGTAATGAATGAATGAACAGTTATCAAAGAACTGTTTCTCTACCCCAGTTTTTTGTTTTTTTTTTGATCCGGTCATGGGGCCTGAACTCTGGGCCTGGGCACTGTCCCTCAGCTCTTCAGCTCAAGGCTAGCACTCTACCACTTGAGCCACAGCGCCACTTCTGGCTTTTTTTTTCTGCTTATGTGGTGCTGAGGAATCGAACCCAGGGCCTCATGCATGCAAGGCAAGCACTCTACCACTGAGCCACCTTCCCAGCCCTCTACCCCACTTTTGAGGAGAAAAAATAGAAGGAAGAGAAAGAAAAGGAAAAGCCACATTCCATGAACAGCAACTGTTTCACCACTACCAGGGGGCTAAGCTGAACAAGGTCCCAGCAACTCAGTTTCTTGCTAGACATTAATTCAGACTTCGGCAATTAATCAAGGTGGCAGTAACATCCTTGAAGGAGTGGTATGCTGATCTTAGCATCAGACTTATACGCTTATTCTATCCAAATATGCACAAATATCAGACTTTGTCCCCTGTCTTTTGGTTCTGAGAGAGAGGGCTCTGCTGAAACTTGAGCCATAGGCTAGAGTAAAAACGGACTAGAAGAGCATTTTTTATTTTTTATTTTCTCTTTCATTCTCTCTCTCTCTCTTTCTCCCTCCCTCCTTTCCTCTCCTCTTTGTGTTGGTACTAGGGCTTGAACACAGGGCCTTGTGCTCTTCCTTAGTTTTTTCCACTCAAGGCTGGCACGAGACCACTTAAACACAGCTCCATTTCTGGGTAGTTTTTTTTTTTTTATGGTTTATTGGAAGTAAGAGTCTTGAGTTTGTCTTCCTGGGCTACCTTTGTACCTCAGTCCTCAGTTTTCAATATCCTAAGTAGCTAGGATTACAGATGTGAGCCACCAGTACCTGGCTTTAGGAGAACTTTCTTCCTGTCTCCAAGGTGCTGTATGATTTGCTAGCATCTGCTACTGGGAAGAGAGAGAGGTAAGGGATGAGAATCATGGACCTACATTATATGAGATAGGTCTACTCTTTATTGAGGTTGAGTGACTTGCCCAAAGTCACCCAACGAGGGGATCTGGACCCTCATCTGCCTGATTCAAAGTCCTCTCCACCCCCCTGCCCTCTTGCTTCTCTTAGTAGCTGTGACTTCAACAGTATATAGCATTGTCAGGGCCACTGGTGAGGCCCATAATCCCCAATCCTCAATTCTTACCAACTGCCCTAATTTATAGAGAGTAGTCATTTTGCCCTTTAGGGTACTAGGGGAACAGTTTCTTGGGCTTGTGAGGTTTTTCTCAAGCCTAAAACAATACTGGTGGCTCACGCCTGTAATCCTAGCTACTCAGGAGGCTGAGATCTGAGGATCGCGGTTCAAAGCCAGCCCGGGCAAGAGAGACCGTGAGACTCCTATCTCCAATAAACCACCAGAAAACCGGAAGTGGCGCTGTAGCTCAAGTGGTAGAGCGCTCGCTTTGAGCTGAAGAGTTGAGGGACAGCACCCAAGCCCAGAGTTCAAGCCCCACGACCGACAAAAAAAAACCAAAAACCATTGAAGGTTGGGGCTGGGAAGGTGGATCGGTGGTAGAGTGCTTGCCTTGCATGCATGAGGCTCTGGGTTCGATTCCTCAGCACAACATAAACAGAAAAAGCCAGAAGTGGTGCTGTGGCTCAAGTGATAGAGTGCTCTCCTTGAGCTGAAGAGCTGAGGGACAGCACCCAGGCCCAGAGTTCTGGCCCCACGACAGGCAAAACACATATACACACACACACATACACACACACACACACACACACACACACACACACACACACACACACACCACAGAAAGTTGATTAGTTCCAAATTTTTAAAAGCAAACTGTAACATTAAAATGAATATTTAATAAAATAGCTATAGTGAGATTCACGTCTCCTAGTTAATAGTAAGTGAATTCAGCTCTTAAATAGTCATATATAGCTATAGTAGAATAGAGTTTCAAGAACACAGTGAGCCATTTATCTTTTCTCAATGAAACTCAGAATTTTAATAATCCTTTCACTTAGAAAAAAACAACAAGAAATGTAAATCAGCTGCACATTGATGGCCCACACCTGTAGATACTCAGGAGGCTGAGATCTGAGTATCATGCTTCAAAGCCAGCTAGCCTGGGCAGACAAATCCAAGAAATTCTTATCTTCAATTAACCAGCAAAAAGCTGGAGGTGTGGTTCAAGTAGTAGTGTACCAGCCTTGAGCAAAAAAAAAAAAAAGGCTAAGCAAGAGCACAAAGCTCTGAGTTTAAACCCCAGAACTGGGAGGAAAAAGAAAAAAAAAAAGAAGAAAAAGAAATTAAGAAGCCAGGCTCTGCTGGCTCACACCTGTAATCCTAGATACTCAGGAGACTGAGATCTGAGGAATGCAATTCAAAGCCAGCCTGGGCATGAAAGTCCGTGAGACTCTTATTAACCACCAGAAAACAGGAAGTGGCACTGTGGCGCAAGTAGTAGAGTGCTCGCCTTGAGCTGAAGTGCTTGGGACAGCACCCAAGCACAGAATTCAAGGTATACGCCCAACAGCAACAACAACAACAAAAGAAAGAGAAAGAAGAAGAAGGAGAAGAAGGAGAAGAAGGAGAAGAAGGAGAAGAAGGAGAAGAAGGAGAAGAAGAAGAAGAAGAAGAAGAAGAAGAAGAAGAAGAAGAAGGAGAAATGTATATATGGAAATAAGGTTCATTTTGATATATTTGATAAGACCTCCCAAGATGTCATGAAAGTCCTGGGTGACTTGAGGATCTGGGAGAAGGACAGAGAACAAATATTCATTGCAAAGACCTCCTGTCCTCAGCAACCATTTCAGATGAATACCACATAGCCACGGCCTGCAATAGCCAGCCTAGCCCAAGCAGTGGGCCTCTCTGTACTTCTGTAACCCTGGTTTAAACAAAGGCCAGAGGGATGCCTGCCTAGTAGGCTGAGCCACCAAAGCTCTTGGGATCAAGGGAAACAAAGGGAGAGGGAAAGCAAAGTGCTGACCAGACCATCAACCATTGGTCATAGGACTATAAAGAGGGGATCCACAGAGGAAGTGGCACCAGATGGAGACCCAGACTGTGCAGCGGGAGCTGGGTGAGTAAGGCCTGGGAGTGTCCCTACCTTTGCCATTCTTCTCCTTCCCCTAAACAAATACATGCAGGAGAAGGCCCAGTTTTGCTGCCTAAAGGCCAGAGCCTTTGAAGGTAGTGGAGAAGAGTAGCGGACTCTGGGGGTAGGGGGAAGGAAGGTAGCCTCCTCTTGACATGGTAAGAAGAGTCACCTATATGGCAATAACCACTGCCCTGGAAACTATGACTGTGGGCAGGGGTAGCAAGAAAGGAGCAGATACTGGACACAGGGACAAGGTAAGAACAGCAGAAGCTTAGAATAGAAAGAAATATGAAGCTGGCATTGGTGGCTTATGCTTGTAAATCTTTGCTACTCAGGAGGCTGAAATCTGAGGATTGTAGTTCAAAGCCCATCTGGGTAGAGAAGCCCACGAGACTCTAATTAACTAAGAAAAAAAAAAAGCTGGAAATGGAGATGTGGCTCAAATGTGGCATGCTAGTCTTTAGGACAAAAGCTCAGAGACAGCATCTAAACCTTCCTGAATTCAAGCCCCAGGACGAAAGAAAGGAAGGAAGGAAGGAAGGAAGGAAGGAAGGAAGGAAGGAAGGAAGGAAGGAAGGAAGGAAGGAAGGAAGGAAGGAAGGGAGGGAGGGAGGGAGGGAGGGAGGGAAGGAAAGAAAAGAAAGGAGGAAAGGAAGGAAGGAAGGAAGGAAGGAAAGGGCTGGGAATGTGGCTTAGTGGTACAGTGCTTGCCTAGCATGCATGAGGCTCTTGGGTTCAATTCCTTGATACCGCATAAAAAAATAAATAAAATTTAAAAAAAGAAGGAAGGAGAAAGAAAAAAAAGAAAAAAGGAAGGAAGGAAGGAAAGAGAGAAAAAAAGAAATACAAGTTTACATCAACTAATTTCTGGGCCTGATACCAGCCAGGAGGAAGGGCCATGAGTATCTTTCCTGAATCAAGAAATCTGTGCACACCTGCCTTTCATTCTTCCTTCCCTTTCTCTTCCTTCCCCGTTCCTTTCCTCCTATCTTTCCTTGTTTTACTCATCCTACCATCTTTTTTTTTTTTTTTTTTTTTTTGGTCGTGGGGCTTGATCTCTGGGCCTGAGCACTGTCCCTCAGCTCTACAGCTCAGGGCTAGTGCTTTACCATTTAGGCTACATCGCCACTTCCGGTTTTCTGGTGGTTTATTGGAGATAAGAGTTTCACGGACTTTCCTGCCCAGGCTGGCTTTGAACCGAGATCCTCAGATCTCAGCCTCCTCAGCTAGGATTACAGGCGTGAGCCACCGGTGCCCGGCTCATCCTACCATTTTTAGGTCTGTTTAAGATGGTAGTTCACAAAACTTCCATGTCCATCAGAACCCACATCTGTAAAATGGAAATAATGATGGCATTCATCTCAAAGGCTTTTTGTGCATGTAAAACATTTAGAAAAGGGTCTGACCTAGAGTGAGTTATTATTATATGTTATTACTATACTTTTTTCTTCATTTTCCTTCAATAAATCTTTTTCAATATCGCCATTTCTATTTAAGTATGTAATGGGTATTCTATCAATCACCCAAAATTCCTGGGCCCTACCATTGAGGATCCTCAGCTAGGAGCTAGTCAGTAGGAACACAGATCAGCATTGTGATGAGTACTAAACAATCAGGGGAGAAAGAAAGTGGGTAGTTACAGGCTAGAGAGGACAGAAGAGTTTCAGGCGCAGCAAGGTAAAGACCAATTGGGGATTCTGGCATTGCTACCCATGTGACCAGTGTCATGAGGGGTCTTGAGAAGACAGTTGCCAAGGAGTTGAGATCATAGCTTGTACTTCAGTCAATGCTGTTACAGGCAAGCTAGAGGATAGAAAGTACATTTGTCAAGAGGTCATGATGCTTGTGCAGTACTTTACCTGCATTATTGTTTCTAATTATTAGAATGACTGCATGCAGAAGCTTTGCCAGTGGAAAACTTGCAGCTCAAGTAGTAAACCACAAGGTCCCATCAAAGTCTATTGGACTTTGGGCCTCTTTTCCTTTCCCTGTGCATTCTTGCCTCTCCTCCTACCTTAGAAGGCATATCACTGGTTTGTGTTCTGTCTTTCAGAAACTCTTCCAACCACCAAGATGGCTCAGACCAACCCTATGCCAGGGTCCTTGGGACCATGGAAGGTAAGCCCGTCCTGATCACATGGAAAATGGGAGACTAGGACAGCACATGGATGAGATGCTGTCTTAGAGCAGACACCAGGGTTGCACTTGCCATGAGATGAGATGTGAGCAATAAATATTAGTATAGAGGGGAAGGGTCTACCCCATTGACACTGTTGAAGAATCTGTCAGGATGGAAGGATAATCTGGAAGCCTGTCATAGGTGAGAAAGTAATAGTAATTTCCTTGGTTGATTCCCCTCCACACTGGTAAAATCATTTTATTTTATTTGTCGGTTGTGGAGCTTGAACTCTGGGCTTGGGTACTGTCCCTGTGCTCTTCAGCTCAAGGTGAGTTCTCTACCGCTTGAGCCATAGCACCACTTTCAGTTTTCTAGTGGTTTATTGGAGATAAGAGTCTCACAAACTTTCCTGCCCGGGCTGGCTTTGAACCATGATCTTCAGATCTCAGCCTCCTGAGTAGCTAGGATTACAGGTGTGAGCCACTGGCACCCGGCATAAAATCATTTTTAAAATAGAGAAACCCAAGAGGGAACTACACCAATGGACAAACTGAAGGCCCCAAAATGAAGAGGTTTAGTTCTAAGTCATAGGATCCAGGCATTGATTCTGACTGAAGTTGGTTAACTTGGGCAGAAGTGGCTGTTCTCCACGCCTTCCTCTGCTTCTCCAAAACACTTTACCTTCTACCTTGGTCACCTCTGAGGCTAGTTCCCAGCTTTTCAAATTGTCCTTTTGTCAGATTGAAGAGTCAAATTCTAATTAAAGAAGTACAAGAGGGTTGTGGCTGAATGTGGCTGAAGCTGCCAAGAAAAAAGTCCAGTTTCTGGGATACATATGCAGGAAGTTTGATGTAATTACAGCCCACAAGCCCTTTGTCCATTGGGCTGGTCATCATCCCTGGTGGCTATTTCTAGTATAAACCAATTCCCCCAGATCTTACCCCCTAGCCCAAGCATGCAGATACCACCAGCCAGTGGCATTAATTTGAACTCTTTTGTACCATTTATTCTGACTGAATGTCGGTATCAAGATTTTTGGAGCTAGGTGCCAGTGGCTCATGCCTGTAATCCTAGCTATTCAGGAGACTGAAAGCTGAGTTTGTAGTTTGAAGCCAGCCCAAGCAGGAAAGTCCTTGAGACTCTTCTCTCCAATTAATCACAGAAAAAGCCAGAAGTGGCACTGTGGATCATCTGGTAAAGTGCTAGCCTTGAAAAAAAGAAGCCCAAGGACAGCGCCCAGGCCCAGGCCCAGGCCCCACAAAAACAAAACAAAAGAAAAGAACAAAGACACCCAACCATTTCCCCTCCCCTCCCCCTACACACACACTTTGGACCACAACTGGTGATGGAAAACACAATGTAGATGTAAGTTAAGCTGTTAACTTAGTCTCTGCTCTTCTTGCTGTACCAGGTTCTACTTTTCTTGCCCTATTTAATCCCATTACAGATAACCATCTATGACCAGGAGAATTTCCAGGGCAAGAGGATGGAGTTCACCAGCTCCTGCCCAAACGTTGCTGAGCGCAGTTTTGATAATGTACGATCTCTCAAGGTGGAATGTGGCGCGTGAGTATGGACCTTGGCTAAACCTCAGCCTTCTGAATTCTAGGTCCCTTTAGATACATGGGTAGGGAAGGAGGAAGGAAGAAATGTTCCCTAGACATTAATCATTTTTTGGAGAAAATCCTGGAATAATCTCAAAATGAAATTACTATATGCATAATTTAGTAACTCAAAGCTAGAAAGGACATGAGGTTCTTCAGGATTCTTGGTATGAAACTTGGGAGTTAAAAAATGTAAATTCATACTGGGCATTGGTGGCTCACACCTTTAGAACCAGCTATTCATGAGGCTGAGATTTGTGGATCTTGGTTCAAAGCCAGCCCAGGCAGAAAAGTCCCTGAGACTCTTATCTCCAATTAACCATCAGAAGTGGCACTGTGACTCGAAGTGGTAGAGTGCTAGCCCTGACCAAAAGAGCTCAGGGACAGTGCCCTAAGTTCAAGCCCCAAGACTGACAAAAATAAATAAATAATATAAACAATATAATTTTAATTTATAATAAGTTTTAATTTGTAATAAATTCTAATTTATAATTTTTTTGCCCCTCCTGGGGCTTGAACTCAGGGCTTGGGCTTTGTCTCTGAGCCTCTCTGTGCTCAAGGCTAGTGCTCCACCACTTGAGCCCCAGCACCACTTCTGCTCTTTTTTTTTTTTTTTTTTGTCGGTCGTGGGGCTTGAACTCTGGGCCTGGGTGCTGTCCCTCAGCTCTTCAGCTCAAGGCGAGTGCTCTACCACTTGAGCTACAGCGCCACTTCTGGTTTTCTGGTGGTTTATTGGAGATAGGAGTCTCATGATCTCTCCTGCTCGGGCTGGCTTTGAACCGCGATCCTCAGATCTCAGCCTCCTGAGTAGCTAGGATTACAGGCGTGAGCCACCAGTGCCCGGCTTCTGCTTCTGCTCTTTTTGTTTATGTGGTACTGAAGGATTCATGCATGCTAGGCAAGCACTCTACCACTAAGCCACATTTTATTTTATTTTATTTTTATTTTTTTGGGGTCTGGTCATGGGGCCTGAACTCTGGGCCTGGGCGCTGTCCCTCAGCTCTTCAGCTCAAGGCTAGCACTCTACCACTTGAGCCACAGCACCACTTCCGGCTTTTTTCTTTTTGCTTATGAGGTGCTGAGGAATCGAACCCAGGGCCTCATGCATGCAAGGCAAGCGCTCTACCACTGAGCCACCTTCCCAGCCCCTCAGCCCCAATTTTAATTAATTAATTATTTTTTGGGGGGTCAGTTGTGGGGCTTGAACTCTGGGTCTGGGCACTGTCCCTCAGCTCTTCAGCTCAAGGCTAGCGCTCTACCACTTGAGCCATAGCACCACTTTCAGCTTTTTCTGTTTATGTGGTGCTGAGGAATTGAACCCAGGGCTTCATGCATGCAAGGCAAACACTCTGCCACTGAACCACCTTCCCAGCCCCCCCCCAATTTTAATTTATAATAAATAATACAAATCATTTAATAATAGATATAAATCTCTATGTGAATAAACATATATTGACATCTATGTATATCAAAATTCAACGGGGATGATGGTTTTTTCAGTAATCAGATCTGTGCATTTGGAACCCTGAGTTCAACAAAAAATATAGATGTATATGTAAGTACACACACACACACACACACATACACACACACAAAATTCAGTGGGGTGGGGCAGTGACTGTAATCAGATCTGTGCATTTGGAGCCTTAAGTCTACCTAGGATTCTTTCAGAACAGCCACAGAACCCTCTTGCCTATAGAAAACAGGTAAAGAGATAACTGTCATATAGCAGCCTCCCCCGGAGGTCATATAGGCTTTAAACACCATGAATGAACACAACTGTCTTTGGCAGCTGGATTGGTTATGAACATACCAGCTTCTGTGGACAACAGTTTGTTCTGGAAAGAGGAGAATACCCTCGCTGGGATGCCTGGAGCGGGAGCAATGCCTACCACATTGAGCGTCTCATGTCCTTCCGCCCCATCTGTTCGGCTGTGAGTTTGAAACTTGTTTCTGGGCACAGGGATGGGGCAAAAGAAGGTGCAAACTCTTCAATTATGCTGGATGTGGCAGGGAGGATGAAAGTACAAAAGAGAAAAAATTGTTCTTTTTCTTGAAGTCTGTCATTAATTGTACTCTACTAGATAGTATTTTCTTAAGCTGAAAGTATGGATTTTCTTACAGGTAGCAGGAAGCACATACTCAAGAGAACAGTCAAAAGTGCTATAGGACAACTAGTGGAAGACTTATCATGTAGTGCACAAAGGAAATCTTTGGCTAGTTAAATATCAATCTGTGATAATACACACAGAGAAATATGCCAGGCATGAAGGTGAGGAGATGATGGCAGGAAGATGGCAATCTATGTTGGAGGGACAGAGAAAGAGGAAACTCTGTGAGACTTTTTTTTTTTTTTCCGGTCCGGTTGTGATGCCTGAACTCTGGGCCTGGGCGCTGTCCTCAGCTGTTCAGCTCAAGGCTAGCGCTCTATCACTTGAGCCACAGCACCACTTCTGGCTTTTTTCTTTTTGCTTATGTGGTGCTGAGGAATCGAACCCAGGGCCTCAGGTATGCAAGGCAAGCGCTCTACCACTGAGCCACCTTCCCAGCCCCCTATCTGTAATTTCATAGCATTTTTTTCACTTAATGTATAACTGACATATAATAAAATGCAAAGTGTACACTTTCATCAGTTTTGAAAAATATACTCATTTAACCAACAACCTAACTGCATACAGAATAATGTCATCACTCCATAAAATCCTGATACTGTTTTCAAGTCAATTGCTCCCCCACTACTTTCTATCCAAGATATACCAATATTCTATACCAAGACTAATTTTGCCTTCTTACTTGATGTTATTTCCAACACATGTACATATATGTATGTTTTGCTTCTTGTATTGCTCTGTGAGGTATTTTTCCACATTAGATATTGTCACAAAATAATCAGTATTTTAATATTTTAACAGGATTGTTTTTCTTATAAAGAAATCTCTGCATTACCTGACTCTAACATATACTAGTTGCACAAAGGTGTTTCATTGTGACATTTCCACTCATGTATAAAATGGATCCTGAGTTACCTGAATCTTTTAATGGCTATGTACTTTCTTATAGACCAGAAAGTGTTTTAATCTTGAAAAATGTGTCATGAATCAAAAGATGATAACCTTAACAGTACTTTCTGAATTACAGAATCATAAGGAGTCTAAGATTACCATCTTTGAGAAAGAGAACTTCATTGGACGCCAGTGGGAGATCTGTGATGACTACCCTTCTTTGCAAGCCATGGGTTGGTTCAACAATGAAGTTGGTTCCATGAAGATACAATGTGGAGCGTAAGTTGAAAAACAGAGTTCAGGACTGGGAATGTGGCCTAGTGGTAGAGTGCTTGCTCCTAGTATGCATGAAGCCCTGGGTTGGATTCCTCAGTACCACATAAACTGAAAAAGCTAGAAGTGGTGCTCTGGCTCAAGTGGTAGAGTGTTAGCCTTGAGCACCTGAAGCTCAGGGACAGTGCCCAGGCCCTGAGTTCAAGCCCTAGCACTGGAGAAAGAAAGAAAAGTTAAGAAAGAAGAAGAAAGAAAGAAAGAAAGAAAGAAAGAAAGAAAGAAAGAAAGAAAGAAAGAAAGAAAGAAAGAAAGAAAGAAAGAAAGAAAGAAAGAAAGGAAGGAAGGAAGGAAGAAAAGGAAGGAAGGAAGGAAGGAAGGAAGGATGGGGGAAAGAAGAAAGAGGGAAGGAAGGAAGGAAGGAAACAAAGAAAGAAACAAAGAAAGAAAAAAGGAAGAAAGAAAAAGAAAGAGAAAAGAAAGAACAGAGTTCAAGTACATTTCAAGTTCCTATGGGTGTAAACCTTGTGAATATTAACACATTAAATTGTCATAGTATACCAGATTTCAAACACTGGCATTGTACTGGTTTGCTTATCACATTGTAGTTATTATTTTGAATCTCAAGTTGTGCCAACTAACACTTGTTAGATTCTTCTCCTAATGGAAGTATTTATGTAGAATAGTTTGCCTTTTCTTTTTTTCACTTTTCTTTTTAGTAGAAATGAGGTTTGAGCTCAGGACCTTGCATTTGTTAGGCATGAACTCTACCACATAACTCATGTTCCTATGGCTGGGGAGGTGGCTTAGTGGTAGAGTATTTGCCTAGCATTCACGAAGCCCTGGGTTGGATTCCTTAGTACCGCATTAACAGAAAAAGCTAGAAGTGGCGCTGTGGTTCGAGTGGTATAGTGCTGGCCTTCAGCAAAAGCAGCTCAGGGACCATGCCCAGGCCCTGAGTTCAAGCCCCAGGACTGGCAAAAAAAAAAAAAAAGCCGGGTACCGGTGGCTCACGCCTGTAATCCTAGGTATTTAGGAGGCTGAGATCTGAGGATTGTGGTTCAAAGCCAGCCCTAGCAGGACAGTCTGTGAAACTCTTATCTCCAATAAACCACCAGAAAACCAGAAGTGACGCCGTAGTTCAAGTGGTAAAGCGCTCGCCTTGGGCTGAAGAGCTGATGGACAGCGCTCAGGCCAAGTTCAAGCCCCATGACAGAAAAAAAATGTTCCTAGATCTTTTTGCTTTGCTTATGTTTCTGACCAAGCAAGCCAGGATTGTGATCCTTTTATCTGTGTAAGCTACATAGCTTATTGAGATAGAATCTTGTTTCCTTGAACTTGAGGGCTCTTGAATGGCTTTCTTACTCTACTACTTGAGCCACACTTCCAGTCTGGCATTTGCTAATTTCCTGCCATTGGCTTCAAACTGTGATCCTCCGATCTCAACCTCCTGCATAGTTAGGATTACAGGCATGATCCACTAGTGCCTAGTGGGATCTTCCATCCTCAAATCTGTCTTCTAAGTAGCTAGGATTACAGGCAAGAGCCACCAGTGCCTGGTTGGGATCTTTTTTGAAACCCTGTCTTGCCTCAAACCTCACTAATTCACCTCCCAAGTACCTGATAGGCAAGAGCCATCATGCCCAGTCACAAGGCTAACTAGTTGTAGCCTTACGATGTTCACAATGTCTGATATATACATATGGCTGTTTTCTAAGCATAAAAGCATGTTAATGAGGCCTAAGTTTTGGGATATTTACCAGGTTCCTAACTAATTTTTTTGTTATGAGCTGTTTTAATAAGCAATGTGCTTTCAATTTTCTAGCTGGGTTTGCTACCAGTATCCTGGATATCGTGGCTATCAGTATATCTTGGAATGTGACCATCATGGAGGAGATTATAAACATTGGAGAGAGTGGGGTTCTCATGCCCAGACTTCCCAGATCCAATCCATTCGCCGTATCCAACAGTAGTGGATTAAAAGCTCCAAGAGAATTCCTTGAGCATGAGACCTTGCTAAGCACTCTGTAGAGTTTTGTTCTGCTGAGGCACTGCTTCCAATGTTAGTTGCTGAAACCCATAATAAATGTCATTTAAAAAAACAAAACTTTGTGGACCGAATTGCACTTGTATGGTAAACATAAACTTCAGTAACTCTAATGCCCTCACCTTTTTTTGGAGGCCATGTCTCCCTATATGGTCCAGGCTGGCTGCTGGGGAGTGCACCACTCAGCCAAATTCAAATTGTTTTGTGTCCTTGCAAGTTACCAGGAGGAAAATTATTCCCCGTCTTCCCCTCCTCCCTTACCCTGGTCGTGGGCCTTTAACTCTGGGTCTGGGTGCTGTCCCTCAGCTCTTCAGCTCAAGGTGAGCTCTATACCACTTGAGCCACAGCCATTTCCGGGTTTCTGGTGGTTTTATGGAGATAAGTATCACAGACTTTTCCTGTCTGGGCTGGCTTTGAATCGCAATTCTCAGATCTCAGTCTCCTTGAGTAGTTAAGATTATAGGAATGAGCTACCAGTGCCTATTTAATTCCCCATCTTTTTTTTTTTGGTCGGTCATGGGGCTTGAACTCTGGGTTTGGGCGCTGTCCTTCAGCTCTTCAGCTCAGTGAGCGTTCTTCGGCTTGAGCTACAGCGCCACTTTCGGTTTTCTGGTGGCTTTTTGGAGATAGGAGTCTCCCGGAATTTCCTGCCCGGGCTGGCTTTGAACCTCGATCCTCACATCTCAGCCTCCTGCATAGCTAGGATTACAGGCGTGAGCCACCAGCACCTGGCTTTATTCCCCATCTTAAAAAGTACTCAATCTAAATATTACCAGTTTTGTTTTTTTTTTGTCAGTCGTGGGGCTTGAACTCTGGGCCTGGGCGCTATCTTTGCGCTCTTTAGCTCAAGGCGAGTTACTGCTTGAGTTACAGTGCCGCTTCTGGCTTTCTAGTGGTTTATTGGAGGTAAGAGGTTCACGGAGTTTCCTGCCCGGGCTGGCTTTGAACTGTGATCCTCAGATCCCAGCCTCCTGAGTAGCTAGATTACAGGCGTGAACCACAAGAACCAGGCTCAAATATTACGTTTCTATAGTAACTATTTATGTACCTTTTTTGTACAATTCCCTCCTTTGATCTTAGCAGTTATCCCTAACCTTAGCAATTAATGCTAAACAGGAAATTTCTCAACATGCCTATTGCCATACTATTTCCACAAAAGTTGCTTAAATGGTTAGCTCAACTTTGATTTTATATTTTAATTGCAAGAACTTAAGGATTAATATCCTCAAAAAAAAAAAAAAAAGCCAGACAAGCTGCTCTCATAGCTGTAAATACTGTAATAGCCTGTATGATAAAAAATAAAAGTGGGCTGGGTATGTGGCTCAGTGGTAGAACACTTGCCCAGAATGCATGAAGCCTTGGGTGTGATTCCTTAGAACCACATAAACAAAAAAAGCCGGAAGCGGTGCTGTGGCCCAAGTGATAAGAATGCTAGCCTTGAGCAAAGCAGCTCAGGAAGAGTGCCCAGACCCTGAGTTCAAGCCCCCAGGACTAACTAGCACCAAAAAAACAAAAACAAAAAACATAGTACAATTTACATTTAAGTCCTTTGTATATCTGATCCATTGGAGAAGTCATTTTCAATGTCATATTACAACAGTTTTCAGTAGACTTAAAGCACACACAAAAAATAACACAAGCACTTCATAAGCTTTAAAATTTTTTTATTCAACAATGTACACTTATTGTCTCTTAATTTGATCTACAAATCTCGTTTTTTTTCCTGATAAAATAAGGAAATCTGAGTATGGTTGTAGACTGTAATTTATATATTTAAAACACTGAACATTAAGACATCAATAAAGGAAGATCGTGTAGCTGATACTTCCTCATAATCCATGACATCAGAACAGCTATAGCAAATATCTAAGCATTTAGCAAAAGGGCAAATTTCTGGTCACTGTTCTTACATCTAAAAAAGAGCTATCTTTATTTATTTTTTTACTGGGCAAAACAACATTAAAAAGTATTTGAGGGGGCAAATGAAAAAAAAAAACAACCCTAACTGTAATCCACTAATTATCCTTTCCACAAATTAAGTAGTTAACCCAGCTCCCAAGTGCCTATGCACACTAGACAATTACTTTGCTCCTCCAGAACATTCTAATACTAAACATAAAGTGAACTACTGGCAGATGCTTAATAGTAGTCAAAGCCATTTAAGATAATGCCTTGCTACACTCCTCCATTTCTGCTTTTTAAGGCCTTGCATTCATTATGGGCCACCATTTGAATCTTGACTAGTACAGTTAGATACAGGAGGGTTCTGCCCAATTTTCAAAATCAACATATATCAAGAGCACACTTCATGAGATTAGAAACCATCTTCTATATATAGGAAAAGCTATAAAATGGAAATTTTATATCTAGGAGCATGGGGAAAATACCATTAGGAAGTCTTCTACTTAAAACTTATTAGCCTCTCTTACAAAGTTCCTAAAGAGATATACTAAGTATCTTTTAAAACATGATTTGACAAGACCTGGCCAATACATCTACACAACCTTGTAAGTACACATACATGTGAAGTAAAGCTATTTAGTACATGCAAACTGTAGCAACTGAACCAAATATGCCCAATTACTAAATTTTTTCTAATCACTTTGGGCAAATTTTTAATAAAATACACATTATCTTTAAAACAATCTGTGCTTTGATTTTTAACCAACTGAATGATACTGATATCAACATTCAGCAATTGAAAATTCATGCTAAAATAAAAAAAGGTTGGCCTACCTTTTAAACTAGCTTTTAAGACATACAAAATGTCACAAAGCTCCATGTGGCAAAGGTCTTTCCTTCATTTGTTTGAATTACTATTTTTCATAAAAGGAAAAAAAAAACTCAGGAAGAACATCCAATGGTTTGTAAAGCTGATAAAACTGCCCTGTTTCAAGAAAAGCCCTTAAAGAGATACAAGTCAAGCTCATTTAAACTGAACTTTTATTAAAATAGGTGCCAGTTTCCCTCTCTTCTAGTTCCACTGATGAGCTAGCCCAGAACTATAACTTTGAGCCATGTTTCTGAAGATGGTAAAGCTAAAAACAGTAAAATAATGATAGGTCACTTTTGGTAATGACACACGAATTAAACTTTCAAAATATGTGCATAGCTTTATTCGTCTACTTAGATCTAACCTCTTCACGGAGCTTCAGCGAAAGTGTGCAAAATGCATTTCTAAAACGTAATGCAAGCAAAGCTTTTCACATTTACACTGGCAGGAAATACAGAAAAACTAACAAGTCACATTAGGGAGAATTCAGATTTTTTTTCCTTTAATGACAAAATTGCACAGTTTATTATTTGAGACAATTGTTGCAGACATAAATATTTAAAAATTTCTAAGCAAGGTGCTTTAACAATAAAAAATTTTAAGTTAGAAAGAGCCAATAACTTGGATCAAAGCTCATACAGAATCCCAAATTAACATGGACTCCATCATCTCCCTAAATTTTGCAAACGCTTTTAATAACACTTTTTATAACACTAAAGGAGACAGCAAGCTGAAACTTTTTCAAAGCACACAAGAAATGGTGTTATCACATTATTTGAAGGTGCTGGGGAGAACGGGAAAGGGAGTGAAGAATTCTTTTTACTACTTCTCACTACAGAACAGCCACTAACAGGACTAAAAACAAAACAAAAAAACCCGAAAGTCAGTCACTTCCCTAGTTTGTAAAATAGTTCCAGTTTGAGAAGATCTGTAACTTTTGAACAGAGCACCAGTAGCGCAACAGAATGAGCTTTCCATACTGCATAAAAATTCGTGAGGTGGTGAGAACCATCAACTATTTCAGGCATTACTACATGGCCTTTCAATTTTTTTTCAATATACATGCAAGGCACATTGATATAAAAATAGATCTCTGGCCAACAAATATATTAAATAAGCAAATGAAAATTTTGGCTCTGCAATATTGGCAACATCAAAATATAACCAGATAACTTTGGACCACAAATCTTTCATATTCCTCCACCTCATCTGGTGTTCTCTCATTATTGTTCTATTATTTTGGGTTCCATCTCCTTCACGTTTGGGTATGTGCTTGAGAAATGACTTTTTCTTTTGTCAAGTAGCATTCTTAATATACTTAAGTTTATCACATTAAGTAAAAAATGCTAGAGAAGTAAAACATTTTGAAACTTTGAGTGTATGTAACTGGTACAGAACAGTATTAATTCTTCCTGCACACAAAACCTCCAGCTAATGTAAGTTAAATTGTCAATTGTTTTCTAAAAGATCAATAACAAGTCAATGATACTATTTTCTTTAGGTCATTCTTTCCAATTCTTTTTGAGAGGCAGAGAGGGAGTAATAGAAACAAAGCTAAGATTTAAAGTATTTTCAGTAGTAGAAGATATTTTAAGGCCAAAAAATGTGTTAAACAGAATTTTTATTTTCCCAAGTTATTGTCCTTCATAGACCAATACCAACGATGATTAGTTACTTGTACTAATTTCCTCCCAAAGGGCATTATAAACTTCATTTACTTTTGTTAGTGGCTGTGCTACAGAAAATGTATCAAAGCAAACTATGGTATATGTAATGTATACAGTAATGTAAAAAGTGCATCACATTCTTGATTTTCAGTTCTCATAGCAGCAGCAGGCTTAATCTAAGACAGAAAACAGTTGTTTTCATTCTAAAAATGCAACAATACCTAATGAAATGATTCAAGATCTTGAAAAGGATCCTCCTCTATAAAGGATAAATGACAACAGAATAAACAAGGGCCAAACTAAAAGCATTCAATCATATTTACATATTAAAACCACTTAACACCAGATCTTTACATCTAGCAAAAGAAATATATTTTAATAAAGCAGACTCTACTAAAGCAGTTATCCCTTTTATGAGCCTTTGTTTAGCACCTGAGGAAAAAAAGGGCTTATGGTAAACTATGTAATTTACCTCAAAAATTGGTTTGTTGATCTGTAGAGTACAATTTTGATAAACTTAAAGCAAAAACTGAACTAAAAAACCCCCAAAGCTATAGCTATTAAGGCTGTAGAAAAGGGATACTGCAGAATTATAAAATGGCTTTAGAACTGACG